GTCCGGTTAATTTAAATCAGCACTGTAAATTTGCTTTGTTAAGTCAGCGAGTAATTTTAATCTTAACAAGACTGCTCGTATCAGGGCAAAACCCTGAATGTTCTGACTGCCTTTTAAGCTTTATGGAGCAGTAATAACATAAAAAAAACTAAATCTAATAAAATAAAATGAAAATTTTTTTTCTAAAATTTTAAATTTTATACGAAAATCATCCCCCCACTTGGAACGATTTCTAAGTTGGATTAAATCTCCGCTTACGCGTTAATAGCGCGAAATATATCGCGCGATAATTGTCCCAAATTGGCCATAATGGCAATTTTTTAACCCCCATGACTTTACAAAAATTGATCACAGGTTAAATATCTTTTCAAATTCAAGCTCAGGACATCAATACCTTTCGAATGATATAAAAAAATTCCGTCAAAAATGTCTAGTTTAAAAGTCGAAAATTGTCTGAAGAAAAAAAATCCACCCCGAGCACAAATCTTCCGTTACTTTCGTATCGAAAGTCGGAACAATAATTACTGCTTGAATTCACTTATACTTAGCTTCAGTATGTTAATAAAAAATGATGTTTTCTCGAGCGTTCAATTTTTTATCTTCTTTTTCTTACCTCAAAAAATGGGAATCGATTAATTGTATCATCTTAAAACTAATTGACTTTTGCATTGATCTTTTTCAAGTCCATTCTTGGCTACTTATTAAAAAAATGAAAAAACTAGCCAAGATTGAACTTTAATCGCTTAATTACACACGACGAGAGGGAACTTGCATTTAGTCATTAATTGTTTCGTCGTTTAAGGAGGGAACCGGATTGGGAACCAGTCGTTTAGTCATAAACAACTAATAGTTCTTAACCAGAATACTGTTTTCCTAATTTAGCTTACAATTTCCAAAAAAAAATTGCCAAACTTAAAGCTCATCCATAAAAAACTTGTAACTCCGTGTAACAGAAAAAATAATTGATAGTCTCTTATTATTTCTGAACCCATGAACTTCCTATGCAAAATCAAGTTTTGGTCTAAAAATCAAGTTGCTGTCTGAAAATTTCGGTCAGGTGAGTCACCATGAGTCATCCATGTTTTTCCAAAAAACACTTGAGTTCGGGACATTCGGAGGTTGTTCATTTCGTATTTGAAGAATAGTTTTTTTTTTATATCTCAGTGATTTGTCTGTGATCTTGTTTGTGGTCTCAAAATGTAGATGTCGGAATTCTTGTAGTTTTTGTGAAATCGCAGTATTTGGAAAAGTTTATATTGAAGATAAACGCAACGTTAAAAGATAACCCCCAGTTAACACTTCACATTAGATTTATTTATAATGCTTTTTTAAAGGCTACCACAAGTATAATTCTGAATCTACCACAAGTATAATTCTGAATCTGCTCCGAAGCATGACCCCTCAATTGGTGCTATTTTTTGAGAAATGGCAATTTCTGATAACTTATCAAAAACAGGAGGATGAATGTTGATCAAGGTACCTATAAATCTAGTGGAACAGCACGACGACTCAAATTTTGTAGCTTTTGAAATATATTGATTTTTTTTGACAAGTTGGAACAAATGAAAATAAAATAATATTCGAAAATTTCGTTTTTTAGGTATTTCTTAGGGTGCTATGTCAGGATTTCAGAAAAACTGTGCGTCTAGTCGGAAGTTATAAAGGCTCAGATCCTGCTCTTTTTCAAAATAATTTCTTTTTTTTTTCTGACAATGTAGATTATTGGAAAACTGACCTAAAAATTTAATTTTAAAGAACTGAATCAGTGTCTGGTTAAACACTACGGATCTCCTTAACTATACCCTCGGGTACCTAGCAATGAATCCCCCCTATAAAAAAAATAAATCAACGGTTAATAATATGAGAATTTCGTACCTAGTAACGGATTCCCCCTTTAGCAAAAGGGGAGATATAGTTAAAGAGATCCAGTATTACTAGAATGTGGTTTTTTCTGAGTGGAAAATGATACTACCTCTCTCCATCCTCTCACCAATCTCAAGGTCATTGAACAATACGATTTGTTAAGTCTTTGTTTTGTTTGGTTGGTATAATATTCTGTACTTGAATCTTGAAACGAAAGTAAAATAAAATGAAATTAAAAAGGTGGTTGAAGCTGACATAGAAATCCACGATTAATAAAAAATAATAAAACTTGATAAAAATTCATAAAAATAAATTAATAAAAAAAATGTAACTATTCAAACAAAGATGCTACATCATTTTAATTTTTAGAAGACAAACTGGAAAAATGATAAAAGAAATGAATAAGAGCTCAAGCGTTCTTTGAGTTGTAATCATTCAAGTAATAAAACGTGTTGTTTTCTGACTGACATCAAAAAAGATTTTTTCAATTTTCCTCTCAGCATGTTTGGCAAATCAGCAGGGCAATTAAGTTTGGAAAATCTCAAACACAAATACGAAGCTGCTGATAACTTTTCTAGGAAAAGTCTTCTCATTTTTTGAATAACGATTTGATTCTACAATTATCCCTAGTCGGTCATTGTTGTCAATTATTACTGCTATTTTTGAAAAACATTGGTCATAAAAACTAAACAAATTTCAATCAGAATACTGTTTTCATTATTTAATGTGCACTTTCCTTTTAAAAAAATTGCTGAAGCCCAACCATAATTTATCGTTATTTACGTGAAAGAGGGAAAAATAGCAAATCATGATTGTTCAATTGAACTAGCATGCTAGCGAAAAAAAAGCCAGAAAGTTCAGCAAGTTTGACTGGATTGACAAATTGAACTTATCATGCATCAGTTATCGATGTTGAATCGTTTTTTTTTCTCGCCCAAATAACTGTTTTAACGGCCGGGAGTCTGGCAATTAAAAACCATTATCAGAGACACGCATATTCTCCTATGTCTCTTGAGAGATTGTGAGTTATCAGTTCAAAATATAAATTTTAAGTCCCGTAACCAAACAGGAATGCTCGTATCAGGACGAGGCATTGGATATTCCGACTGCCGTTGACAATCGATGAAAAGTTGTTTTTTTTGGGCGGTGTATCGAATAGCATATAGCTCGACTGGGTTGAACTATCAAAATTGAAAATCCAAGCGCAAAATTCAAAAACTGTCGAAATTAAGATCATTAAAATATATCTATCCAAATCCCAGTTTTTTCACACCTTTCAAATTTTTTGCGGCAATCGGTGTTCTGCAGTTCAAGCAATTAAAGACCGTGGTGTCGCGATTTATGTTATAGGTAATTTCAGATCTGCTTAACAATCCCTTCTTGGTATCTACTTATGAATATCCGTCCCTACAAACAAATGCAGTAAAACAAACCTAGAGCTTTCCATTGAAAGTTTTAATGTTGCTGCACTCTAATTGGTCTAACGTTTGGCTTATTTAATCTACAAACAATGCCTTTTTCTTGATGGGGGGTAAATTTTTAATAGATCCACAATTTCAACTGCATTGCACAATTTTTTAATTGTTTAATACTGAATTTCTCGGAAAATCAAGTTTCAATTTGAGCGATTTCTCGTTGTTGTTTTGTATTTCTGAGAAATTAAGCTATCAGTTATGCCAATCAATGCATTGTCATGTTTTCAAATTTTTGTTCTAGTTGAGATTTATGCTAGTCAAGCGTTCATCATTTTTTGTTATGAAATGACAAAGCAAAAATGATTTTTCTGAATAGATTTTGTCATCATTTTATCTCCACACTACATTAAAATCAAAATGAAATTATTTGGTTGTGGCAACGAAATTCTTAGGGCAAATTTTTCGCCTCAATTGATTTGCTTGCACCTTTACGCAAAAAATTTGAGTTTTAAGCAAATAGCCAAATTGAAAATTTTTCCAGGATTATAATTTTAGGAAAATGATCACGACAAAATGGTTTTCACGTGGTACAGAAAAATTCATTTAGAAATAGGTAAGATACCCAAATCATTTTAAAAAGTCTAAAGTTTGTCTGAATAAAAAACCACACAGAGTAAAATTTTTTGCTCAATTAGATGCTCCTTAATTAGAAGGGGGAAAATGTGTCCCTTGCCGAGGAATCAGGTTAATTATGTCCAACTCGTGAAAAATCTTGTTTTTTTTTTAACTTGCAAAATTAATTTCAGTCTCAAGGGTTATTGAGATGCGCAATAATGATAAAATTTGGTGCCACGATTGGAGCTTGCTCTGAAAAAAAATGGCTGCTCGTATATCAGGAGGCACTTAGCATAGTGGCAAAGCGTTAACTTTGAGATCATAAGCTCATGTAATTGATACCCAGCGATTGCATTGAAATTGTGTTAGGTCAAGCTCGCACTTGAACTCCAGCTTCAGGTGTATGGCAACCTAAGCAAATTCGGATGCAAAAGTGGTAATTCGGCTTTCATAGGAATAAATTTGATAAAACATTGTAAATGACAAAAAATCAACACCCTACGCTGAGACTGACACTGAGAGGACTCGCTACTAGAAACTTACCATTTTGATGATCCCCGTTCATAATGAGTTACAAAATTAGAACTATCTCCCCTCACCAAAATAGACAGAGGGAACAATCTCACCCCTAAAACTAAATGAGAAATTCAAGCAGTACTACGCTCAAATTTGATTGGCTGAAAAATATTACTTTTAACCAAGTTAGCTATTTCCTTTTTATTTTGATTCAGGAGGACATACTTATTTTGGTCACAATTGATATATACTGAAAGATGGGAACAACTCTCAAAAGTCTACAAGTTCTCTGTTTTCGTCTGCCTTTGATACAAGCTATGAAACATTAATTTGTCGTCTGATAATGCTTTTTTGAAGAAAAATGAGTTTGAAAAATATTAATCCGGCTTTTTTCTTGATGTAAGCTACTTTTTTACAAAAAAAATTACAACACGCAGAACGCGTTTTTTTTCTTCCACTGTAGTAACAACCATTTAAGACTTTCGCGAGACTTTCTTTCCGAATTTTTTTTGAAAACTTGCGTAAATTGACCTTTGCATTATTCCCTGTTGTTGTCTTCTTCTTTTTTTGTGTGTAGGAGCCGAAGCGTGCTCAGAGGCAGCGCTTCGCCAGCTCGATCGCCTTGATCTGAAGGTCGGTAAGGACTGAAAGCTTGGTGTTGGTGTCGCCAAATATGGATTGTCGGGTGCTGAGAGTTGCTGGACTTTCGAGTAACCAGTGTTCCATGGTTTGGTTATCTTGGAGGCATTTTGGGCATCCTGGGTCTGTTGTTGGGTCCATGAGGTGACGATATCCTGCCAGTTGCATGCTGTGTCCCACTCTCAGTCTCGCTAACATGTTCGCGTCTCTTCTATTGATCAGCGTTTTCTCGTCCTTGGCGGTAGAGTGGTTGGCGTACACAGCTCTTGTCCTGGCATGGGAGGGCAGTTTGTCTTTCAGGGTTCGTTTGATTACTGCTTTGGCAGCTTTCAGTCCTGTAGGTTGGGCGTCGTCTCCGAGTTTTGTGGCTTCGTTGGCAAATTTGTCGGCGAGTTCGTTCCCGGGAATGTCCATGTGGCCCGGGACCCATTGGATGTCGATGTGGCGGTCCATCGCATCCAGCCGACGGCACAAGGAGGCATTATCAGGGCTTTCATTGTCCAGAGCGGCGGTCAGAGACTGGGAGTCGGTGCAGATCAGTACCTTGTCGTGTTCTTCAACGGTGTTCTTTTCCAGCCACTTGATTGCGCTATCCATGGCCTCTTTCTCTTCTTCATAGGAAGATGTGAGGATCCTTCCTTTGGTTTTCATGTTGTCAATCGTGACCGGATTCTCCGGGTCGCCTTGGGTCACAACCATCGCAGACCCGCCAAAGTGGGTACTTTCAGAGGCTGATCCGTCTGTGTAGATCACCCACTTGGCCTCACTCTCACGGATGACTCGGATGGCGCCGGTCCTGGCATTGTTAGTTCTGTTGCCTCCAACCAGTGTGGAGCTCACGGGCCACTCCTCGGGTTGGCGGTCCACAGGTGCTCAGTAGGGCCAGTAAGCGGTTCTCTGGGGGCTAGTCCTTCTGGGAGTGAGGCCTCTAACCTCTTGCTGCTCTCGCGCCAGCTGTCGCGGCAGAGCCTGTGTCTCTGTTCGCCTTCGAGAGCGAGGCGTCTAGGGTGGCTCGGAGAACATCTAAGCGCTTTCTCCCTGGAGGTGGCTATCAGCTGCCGGGAGACTGTCTCACAGCTGGACAGGCCCGCTTCGATGCGGAGGGCTTCCACAGGAGAGGAGGCGGTCTGACCGGTGATGCGACAAAGAGCTTGGTTCTGCGCTCTCTCCAAGCGGTCCATTTGCGTCTTGACAATCCACGGCCGGGTCCCACTCCTGGGTCCCTTCTTCCTGGAATCCGATGTTCCACGGCAGGGGCGGCGTAGTCCAAGATGCTCGCTGAGTTGCCAGGTAGACGCTGCGCATGGGGCGCTTCTTCCATCCCGAGACAGTGTTGCCAAGGCAAGCTAGGAGGTTGCAGCGTTTCTCGACTTTCCTAACAACATATTTAACGTGTTATTGCAACGAGAGGGTCCGGTTCATGTAAAGGCCGAGGAGCTTCGGAGCAGGGTTGAACTTCATTGGCAGGTTGTTCATGTTGAGGGACGGGACCCACTTGGAGTCACAGGACGCTGCCGAGAAGAAGGTGACGACACTCTTGTCGCTAATGAGCATCTCCTTGCTGCGGCACCAGGACTCGATGTTCTTAACTGCTTCTTGGACTCTCCGCTGGGCGGTCTCCTTGTTGTGGTCGCTGGTCCAGATCGTGAGGTCGTCTGCGAAGACTGAGTTTAGCACATCTTTGGGAATGACGTCGGCTACGGAGTTAATGTAAAAGAGGAACAGCATAGACGATAACACTGCACTTTGCGGGACTCCGTGGATCAACCAACGGGTTCTGCTGAGGCTACCATTAGACAGGACGCGGAATTGTCGGTTTCTGAGGAAGGCCTAAATCCAGCGGATGAAAGACTGAGGGACTCCGCTCTCGAACAAGCACAGCAGGAGGTGCTCTTTCCAAACCCTGTCATAGGCACGGGACAAGTCCAGCAGGGCCATGACAGTGCGCTTGGGTTTACATTCCTGGAATCCGTCGCTAATGTTTTGAGAGATCCTAATCAGCTGATCTTCGCAATTGCGGTTTTTCCGGAACCCGGCCTGGGTATGGCAACACATGCCCCGGGACTCTGCGAGGTTGTAGAGGTGGTGAAATATCATCCTCTCCAATAACTTCACAATGCAGGAAGTTAAACTGACTGACCGGTAAGACTCAATACTACTAGCAGGTTTGCCGGACTTGAGCAGCGGGATGATGACCGCATTTTGCCAAACTTGGGGGACAACTGCCTCTCTGAACGACATGTTGAAGACGCGGAGGAGTTCAGTCATGGCATGGGTACCAAGGTTCTTCAAGAAGGTCGGCGGGACCTCGTCGGAGCCGGCTGCTCCACAGTTCGTCATTTTTTTCAGGGCACGATTCAGGTCGACTATCGAGAAGTCTGCTGTGGTGCTGTCGTCTGCACTGGGGCTGTTCACTGTGCGTTTCGCAAGGCGGATCCTGCTTCTTTCTTCTGCCGAGAAGCTGACTTTGCTGACTTTGGCGTAATGAGCCGCAAAGCCATCTGCCTTGGAAGGGTTGCTGGTCAGGATCTTGGCTCCGACCCCAATAGATTCGTTCGGGCTGCAAGAGTCCGAGCTATCGCTGATGACACCAACGACGCACCAGGTCTTCGCGTAGTCCTTCTGGTTTTCCAGTGTTTCCACAAATTCTGTCCAGCTCTTCTCTTTCTCTTGTTCCACGACCGAGGCAACCTCACCACAAGCTGCAACCCATTCTTCGCGACGGGTGCGGACGAGCTTTCGGAGGTTGCTCCTCTTCTTCACAAGAAGGCGCACACTGAGAGACAAACCAACTTTCTTCCTTTTGCCAGGTTTGGTTTTCCCGACGTGGGCTTTGCCCACCTCCGTGAGTGCTTCCGTGAATCTCTTCACGCTGGCTCCGATGGTTGGGAGGATTTCCCAGAGGGCGACATCCGACTCTAAGGCTTCATTGAAGGCGTTCCAGTTGACGTTTTTCGTCTTCCAGCGGGCGGGTTTCGGAGCTTGAGGGAACAGGCCTACCTTGCAGCGCAGGTTGATCACCATTGGTAGGTGGTCAAATCCTAGACACTCTCCCACTGTCCATTCAGTTCTGGACCTCCAACGGGTGTGGACGAGGAAGGTGTCGGGCGAGTTCTCTCCTGTTGTCCCTCTGTTATTGCGGATTGCGGGTGGGGGTACCGTCGTTGGCGCACATGAGGTCGTTTTCTGCCATTCACTCATCAATGCGGTTCCCTCTGCTGTCCGGGGGTTGATGCAGGTCCCAGAGGTGGGAGTGGGCGTTGACATCCCCTCCGAAAAAGCAGTCGACGACGGACGGGAGGTTGTCGAGGACGAGCAGTTCCTCAGTGTTTACTTCTCTGTTGGGAGCGATATAGATGTTCGTCACATTGATCTATTTCTTCTTGGAGAGGCGGTATATGGTTGAGCATGATTACACATTGCCAGTTTGGCGATTACAGCACTTGCGGGACTCAAACGCGACGTCTTCCCTTGATGAAGGTCAGCAAACCGCCTCCGACTTTGCCTCCTGGACGGTCTACTCTGACGCAACTGTAGCCGTCGATCTTGGTGGTCTTGTCCTTGGCTCTGATTTTGGACTCCTGGTTGATCGCAACGTCCATGTCTAGCTCCTTAACTCTGGCAGCGAGCTCCTGCATCTTCAGTTTAATACCATCTGCGTTCCACTGTAAGATGCGAAGGGCAGTCGACGCCGGACGGGAGGTTGTCGAGGACGAGCAGTTCCTCAGTGTTTACTTCTCTGTTGGGAGCGATATAGATGTTCGTCACATTGATCTATTTCTTCTTGGAGAGGCGGTATATGGTTGAGCATGTCTAGCTCCTTAACTCTGGCAGCGAGCTCCTGCATCTTCAGTTTAATACCATCTGCGTTCCACTGTAAGATGCGAAGGGCAGTCGAAGCCGGACGGGAGGTTGTCGAGGACGAGCCGTTCCTCAGTGTTTACTTCTCTGTTGGGAGCGATATAGATGTTCGTCACATTGATCTATTTCTTCTTGGAGAGGCGGTATATGGTTGAGCATGTCTAGCTTTTCAACTCTGGCAGCGAGCTCCTGCATCTTCAGTTTAATACCATCTGCGTTCCACTGTAAGATGCGAAGGGCAGTCAACGCCGGACGGGAGGTTGTCGAGGACGAGCAGTTCCTCAGTGTTTACTTCTCTGTTGGGAGCGATATAGATGTTCGTCACATTGATCTATTTCTTCTTGGAGAGGCGGTATATGGTTGAGCATGTCTAGCTCCTTAACTCTGGCAGCGAGCTCCTGCATCTTCAGTTTAATACCATCTGCGTTCCACTGTAAGATGCGAAGGGCAGTCGACGCCGGACGGGAGGTTGTCGAGGACGAGCAGTTCCTCAGTGTTTACTTCTCTGTTGGGAGCGATATAGATGTTCGTCACATTGATCTATTTCTTCTTGGAGAGGCGGTATATGGTTGACCATGTCTAGCTCCTTAACTCTGGCAGCGAGCTCCTGCATCTTCAGTTTAATACCATCTGCGTTCCACTGTAAGATGCGAAAGGCAGTCGACGCCGGACGGGAGGTTGTCGAGGACGAGCAGTTCCTCAGTGTTTACTTCTCTGCTGGGAGCGATATAGATGTTCGTCACATTGATCTATTTCTTCTTGGAGAGGCGGTATATGGTTGAGCATGTCTAGCTCCTTAACTCTGGCAGCGAGCTCCTGCATCTTCAGTTTAATACCATCTGCGTTCCACTGTAAGATGCGAAGGGCAGTCGACGCCGGACGGGAGGTTGTCGAGGACGAGCAGTTCCTCAGTGTTTACTTCTCTGTTGGGAGCGATATAGATGTTCGTCACATTGATCTATTTCTTCTTGGAGAGGCGGTATATGGTTGAGCATGTCTAGCTCCTTAACTCTGGCAGCGAGCTCCTGCATCTTCAGTTTAATACCATCTGCGTTCCACTGTAAGATGCGAAGGGCAGTCGAAGCCGGACGGGAGGTTGTCGAGGACGAGCAGTTCCTCAGTGTTTACTTCTCTGTTGGGAGCGATATAGATGTTCGTCACATTGATCTATTTCTTCTTGGAGAGGCGGTATATGGTTGAGCATGTCTAGCTTTTTAACTCTGGCAGCGAGCTCCTGCATCTTCAGTTTAATACCATCTGCGTTCCGCTGCTCGCGTCTCTGCCGGCAATGGTCCTCTTCGCTGGACTGGTTGGTGCGGAGTGGCAAGGGCACAACCAGGTTTCAGGTGAGTACCTGGAGAGATTGCTGCAGCTCTTCTTCAGGTGGCACTGAGCGAAGCAGCTGTCGTCCTCGCAGGACAGGGACCGTTTTCTGGCCCTGAAGGCTCTCTTACATACTACGCAGTTTGTGGGAAGTGGGGAGGGCACTGTGCTGACCACGGGAGTGGTAGTGCGACCGCCATGTTCTGTGCACTTCCACTCCTGTGTGGTGCTGTAGCGCGAGACACCGCTGCACTCTGTCTTCTTGTGGCATCTTGCTATACAGGTGGTGGTGGCACAGGAGAAGTGGGGCAGTCCACTGCGGAGGGTCACACTGCAGTGGTGGCATTGGGTGGGACCGGGGTTGCTTTTGATGTCTCCAGCTTCTAACAAGCGGCAGAGGTCATGTGCTGGAGCCATGCCTCTGCCTCCTATAAAACCCGGCAATGGGTGAGTTTTCTTCCAGATCGCTGATCTGTCTCGGATGGCGATATCCACTGAAGAGGAGGTTTCGTGTTGAATCCGGTGCACCTCGTAAAGGTACTCCTCTCGGGTCGGCCATGTTGTTGTTGGAGTATATGTCGGGAAAAACTCAAAATATTGTTTTAATTCACTTTTTCACTTCTGTTAAACACGGTTAGACCATGGACTAGCAAATTAATTGCAAATTTCGACACATTAAATTGGCAATTATCAACGTGGAGGAATATAAATCTCTGAAAAATGTATGAAACTGAATCATTTGAATAGAAAATATCTTGAAATCAGGCAAATGCAAATAATTTTGTTCAATTGAAAACTGGACGGCTACCTGGAATTCTAAGTCGGCCTGGGACAGCGTGGAATTTTTCAACCTTGGACTTTCTCTGATCAAGCTTATTTCTTGAAAATAATTGTCAAGAGCATGATGACAGCAGTCACATGGTTGCACGTGCATGTGAATGCCACCATTCGAGAATAGACTCCCACCTAAAAGCAATTGAGTGCTTAGACTGTACAC